AAAGAAAATAGATATAGCTACATTAATTTGAGACAACATAAGATTTCAGAACAAAGAAAATTATCGGAAAGAGGGGCATCCCATAATGATTAAAAAGATCAACACTACAAGAAACAACAATCTTCAATGTGTATGCATGTTGCATGTAATAACAGAATGTCAAATTACATGAGGGAAAAACAGAACTGCAAGGAAAAACTGATGAATTCACTATTCTAACTGGAGACTTTCTTCAACACCCCTCTGTCAGAAATAGATGGATACAGCAGGCAAAAAAGTCAGTTAAGGCCATACTTGAACTTAACATAACCATCAGTAACTGGATGTAACAGACATCTACATATGAGATTTCATCCAACAAAAGATTACACATTCTTCTTAAACTCAGAAGGAACATTCATCATACAGACCACATCTTTGGCCATGAAATATCCTTTAACAAATGTGAAAGAATAGAAATGATACAGTATGTGCTCTCAGACCACAGGGGGATTAAATAGGTAACAGAGAGAAAAAAACTAGAAAATCTCCAAATACTTGAGACTTAACAACACACTTGTAAATCACATGGACACATAAAAAAATCTCAAGTGAATTTTTAAAATATTTTAAAGGAAATGAAAACAAAATATAATTTCTGAAAATGTGGGGGAATCAGTGAAAGCAGTGCTTAGGAAAAAGTCAGCATTGAATGTATGTATTAAAAAACAAAGTTCTAAATTCAATTGTCTAAGCTTATACCTTAGGAAATTAGAAAAAAGAGCACATTATACCTAAAATAAGAAGAAAAACAACAGAAAAACCAATGAAGACAGGAAATCAAGAGAGAAAAATCAAACCCAAAGCTGGTTCTTTGAACAGATCAATGAAATTTGTAAGTCTTTGATGAGCTTACCTAAGAAAAAAAGACACAAATTACACCAGAAATGAAAGAGACAGGTCATCACTACAGAAGACAACAGACATTAAAATAAGGGCACAATATGAACAAATCTATGCTCAGAAACTTAATAAACTAGATGAAATGGACTAACTCCTTCAAAGATACAATCTTACAAAACTCAAAAAGGAAAAAAATAAACAATACAACCAGGCCTAAAACTCTAAAAGATGCTAAATAAATAATAACCTTCCAAAACAGAAAGCACCAGGCTCATCTAGATTTACTAGTGAATTCTACTAAACATTTAGGGAAGAAATTAGACCAATTTTCTACAGTTTTAATGCAGAAGAAAGAATCACAGGAAATACTTCCTACCTTTTTTCATGAGGCCAGCACATATACTATATAATCACAATTATGTAAAATTTAAAAAAAGGAAAAACTACGGAGACAGTAAAAAGACCAGGGGGTTACCAAAGATTAAGGAGGGGAATGATGAACATTCATAGCACAGAGGATTTGTAGGGCAGTGAAACATTTTTTTAAAAATTAGTGTATATTTGCAATACATCATAGTTACATTCATTTTGGGAGACTGGTACATGTATATAGCTAATCTCAATCATTTTCCATTCCTTTATCTCCCTCACTATCCTTCCCCTGGTCCCCTTTGCCACTTAAAACAAGTCCCCTATTTGTTTCCTACCTTCTCCTCCTTTGTGTTAGGTTGATCATATAAAAGAAACTGCTGTATTTAACTTTCTATGTCTTGACATTTCACAAAACATTATAGTCTTAATTTTGATCCATTTTCCTGCAAATAACATTTTATTCTTTATGGCTAAATAGCATTTCATCATGTATAGATACCACATTTTCTTTATCCATTTGTCTGTTGATGGGCTGTTTAATATCACTGATCTACAGGTACAATATATATACTTTTTAAAAATTGCACACATAAAAATATTTATATATTCATTCTTGGTCCTTCACTAAGATAATTTTCACTATACTTCTACAGACCATTTCTGAGCAAGTAATTATATCTTGATTTCTTGGATAATTTCACCAGAGCATCTTTCAAATGTAAATTATGTCTATGTTGGCATTTCAAAAGTGCAATTATTTTCTGATTATTACTGCATTAGCCAATATCAAAATCATCATCTTCTCCTTTTTGTTTTTCCAAGAGTGTCAATTTGTAGAGTGGGCTGGCTTTGAACTCACTATTAGTAGCCCAAGCTGGCCTTGAGCTTGCAGCCACCTTCCTTAGCCTCCTGAGTTCTGGGATTACACGTGTGAGTCACCTTATCCAGCTAGAATCTTAGTATTACATTATATCATGTATAGACTGTCATTTTATTTTACTTATTTATTTGTTTTGTTTTGTTTTTTTGAGACAGCGTCTCACTATGTAGTTGAGACTGACCTGGAACTCACTATATAGCCCAGGCTGGTCTAGAACTCACAGTGATCCTCCTGCCTCAGCCTCCCGAGTGCTGGGATTACAGGCATGAGCCACCACGCTCAGCCAAGACTGTCATTTTAGACCTAACACATAATAAGCAGTCTTAAAATCAACACTTTTAGAAAATCACCTTCTGTCAGGTAAATTTACAATACATAAGAGTAATCATATAACCAGATTATATAAACCTGAAAAAAAATACATATATGTTTTTCCATGGAAAAATATTTTTAAAAATCTGCAAATTTTGGCATTGAAAGGAACCATTGAGAACACTAAGGTCATTTCCACCTATTTAGGATCTGCTGCAAAAGTAGTCCAAATTTATTACGTACAGTCCACGACTTGTGATTTTTTTTACTTTTTTTTTTTTTTTTTTTTTTTTTT